GTTATAGCTGACTCGTCTGCAGGTGTAATCGCAGGAGTAGTCGTCAGTGTCATTATTGTACTTATTGTCGCTGCTGTCATTGTTGTCTTCATGTTGGTAAAATATCGACGGGAAAACTCTGATCTCACAGCACCGAACACTGCAGATGTGCAGCCATCAGCACCTCCTAAACGTGATCATCAGCCTCCACCGGAAATCAGGTTGTCTTACGTCAACCCATATCACTTAGACCGAAGCCAGAATCCTAGGTTGGATGGAAGTCATACTAATACAGGGGTGTATTCCGAAATATCCGAAAGACCTCAGTCAGCAACTCCTTCATACATTGAGCCTGTTGATGTTTGATTTAATACATTCTAATTAATGATTGATTTAATTTATGTGACATTTGTTTTGTATGCTTTGACTTTATTTTTGTTTTTTGTTTGAATTTACAAACAATAGTATAATTGCGAACCTAGTTTAATTCAATAGTTTGTGCTTTTACCGATATATTCATGGTTAATTTATTATAATTGAGATATGAATATTCATACTTTGCTGCTGTATATGATTACATGATGTGTCTGCATCATCCTTCATTACTTATCAAAATTAAATATTCCATTTGATTCCGCACTATACACTATTTATACAATTTTTACCCAAATTAACATTTGGTTGATTCATTTCATATTTACAAAAAATGCTATTATATCACATGAATGTAATTGTACAAATACTTGAACTTGGCCTGGCAGTACTCATGTGGTCTACAAATTAGGGGTGTTCTGTCAAATGTATGGTTGTATTGCCGGTCATTACACAATGCGTGAATCAGTATAATTGTTATTCATTTGTTCTCATAATGCATAATGATCTACCAATGAATATTATCCCAAGAACCAATAATGTGCTGCAGCATAGTCCAGATAGCTCAGTCTGTCAGGTCAACCATTGTATGAGCTACGAGGTCAAACGCACAGATCCATATTATAAGATATGAGTGTCTGAGCACACTTGCTTCTATGCTATCGATAAAGAGCCATTGCTCGAAACGTCTAGCTATTTTTAATAGTTATTTAGGACTACGATTACCAAATATTATCTTCAATATATCACACTTAAACTCATATCACTCGATGCATACAACCATCTAATGACATAAGGACGAAGTCTTATAAAGTCTTTGAACTATTGATGAGAACAAAGATTTGACGCGAGGAAACAAGTCAGACTCGAAAACAGAATATCTAGTCTATATAAAGTTCTTCTGATTGGTCAAGTACTACTGAGTGGGTTTTAATAACAGGTATAACACATATTTTTAGACTCCTCTTCTATAGCCTCAGAACACAGTATGTGAATAATACAACATATACAACCAAACACTTTATTGCAATTAGTAAAAAATAAAGTTCTAATTCGTATCTTAATACCAGGGGATATTGCTTTGCATTTTTGGATACCTAACTTTGAAAATATGGTTCAAATTTGACCACTGAGCATATATTAGTGCACGTGAAAAACTACACGTACTAGAGTGTATATGTTGTAAACAATAACAATGTGAACTTTTGAACCATTTGATAAGTTTTACGCTAAAGGGACAATTTATGCGGATCACAGTGAATGTTGCGACTAGTGATACAATTAAGTGTATGCTTACATGCATGCATGTGTGTGTGGGTTTATACGTTGTGTATGCAAGCATAACTCGGGATAGGAAGGGAAAAGAAGGAATCATTTTACAGATTCAAAAAATTATGTTATCAACAATAATTTATGTGGAAAGGAAAATAGCTAGAAACTTAAACTTGGAACACAGGTTTCTCATTCAACCGGAAAGACACAACAAATTCCAGGAACAAAAGATCAAGGTCACAGTGTGTGTTTATGTGTAATTATACATAGAAATGTAACTACATGGAATAAATAGCTATTGTAATAAATTGGCTCACATATTAAATGTTATAGTTAAGTTCACAGTATGAGTGTGTGTATAACTACAGGGGGAAATAGCTATAGCCTTAAGACTTTTTACAGATGTGTTCCATGTGCAACTCAAAACAACTAGCTGCATTCACAGATCAAAAGTCGTGGTCACATTGTGCGTTTATGTTTGTTCAGTATTGGGATACAAGGGGAGAGCTAGCAACTTCAAACTTGGGACACATATTTCTTATGAAACTCACA